GAAACCAAACCAGTATATTTTGGGGAAAACCTGCTGGTCTCAAGTAGTCGATGCCTTTGAAAAGACTCAGAATACTCAGTTCTATCATATTGTAGCTAGCTATATACATAGGCAGATTGACTATTTTTAATCCTGGTTTGTGAATCAAGGAGCTATAGTGGTTTGCTTTCTCTATTGGTGGGATTAAACAATACTGTTTAATGGTTGTAAACTTTTATAAAACCTCTTTGGGTTTTTTGTTTGACCCAAACATAATGTAAGTCTCAATGACAAAATATACGAAGCCAACCAGAGGTGAGTGAAAACATATTCTGTCCCCAATTTTGTCTGCCCCTATAATGCACGTGTAATGCTCTGCAAAATGTTCCTACTAGCATGAATGTACTATGACTACTTCATGAGGTTTTAATTTGTTTCCCTATAATAGTGATGAAAATGCTGTATCATTTACAACAATGAACTGTAACCACACTTATTTACTGCATAAACTATTTGTCTACTAACTACTAATGGCTGTGCTTCTTTAAGAGCAACAACCCCCAAAAGCCATAGCCCACCTACATGTACACACACTCCAGTTTGCTCCTGAAAAAAATTAAATTTCTGTACTTGGGACTTGCATCTTGAGATAAGCTATACGAGAGGGATCTCCCCAGATGAGCTCACCTGAATTTTATCACAGCAGGCACATGCATTCCAGTTCATGTACACTAATGCAGCTCTAAATGCTAGTCCACTGGTGTTTCCCACAGGGCTGGGCGGGGCCAGGCGTCCCCTGGTCAGAGCCAGGTGGAGAGCTCAAATCTGAGGCTGATTGCTGTGAACGCCTATAGTTTATCCCCTGGATAGCTATCAGGGTCACAGAGGGCCTTAGCCCCCACATCAGAGGTAGAAGTGGCCTGACACCCTACAGTTCATAGAAAAGTCACTTGGGCAATATTCAGTGTATAGGTTACAGGTGTGGGAACCGGGACTCCAAAAACTGAAGACACCAAAACTGACAAGAACGAAACCCTGGCCTCATTGCTCCAGGCCAGTGAGTCCTTTGGCACAGCTGAATCTGCTTTTCCCTCTGGCCTCTCTGGAGCCTCCTATTCACCCCACCCCTGCCACTCCAGGCCTGTCTCATTGTAAAGGCAGAGGTGGCCACAGTGAAGTCCAGCCTAGGACCCTTTGAGAGGGGCTGCTCGTGAATCTAAGAATCTTTATCTCTCTTTTTTTAAAGGTTTTATTTATTTAGGGAGAGAAACATTGATTGGTTGCCTCTCACACACCCCTGACTGGGGGCCTGGATCACAACCCAGGCATCTGCCCTGACTGGGAATCGAACCCTCAACCTATCTGAGCCACACCAGTTAGGGCTTTTTCTTTCATCATCTGTCTTGAGACTAAGAGTGCTCCTGTCTCCCTACCCTCTTTCTTCCTCTCTGTCTTTTCTCTTGCTGCCTTCCCGCACATTTCTCAGGCAAACTTCTGTCAGGTTTCTACTGAGTACAAAATAGGGGCTTGGCCTATACTGGCCTAAGGAGAGACCGAAGAGGAGCAAACATTTCCTGTCGTCTTGAACTGGCACACTAGGGAGGGAATGAAGTACACTTAGAGAATGAATTAATAAATTAAGACTTTCCTTTGGGGTGGGGAGGGAGGTATAGGGGAATAAATGGTAATGGAAAAAATACAATAAAAATTATTAAATAAAAAATAAAAGTAAAACTAGGTATGAGCTTAAAAAAAAAAAAGTCTTTAGTATAGAATTCTACACCTGAAACTTACTTAATGTTATTTTCTACACTTGAAACTTTCATGTTATTAACCAGTGTTACCGTAATACATTTAATTTTTTTTAAAAGGAGGGCAGCGACACCATGAAGGTAGGGGAAGTGATAAAAAGAGAATTCCAAGGAGGGACTATACAACTTTCAATGACTCTCCCTAATCATGAGTGGAAACTCAACTACTCTGACTATGTCCTTTTCTAGCTTACCTCTTTGGCCTCAGAACCTACATTTTCTTCACATGAGCCATGTTCCAATCATCCGGGACCCTTCACGGGTGCCCCAACATGTCATGCTCTTCCCTATCCCCTGCAGAATTTTACCTCCCTTCTAGTCCTTGTTGTGACCAGTATTGACTCTGAAAACGCATTGCTAATGTCACCTCCTTCTATTAAGCTGGCCCACCTCCTTGTCCAGACACGGTTAGTTGCCCCCACCCAGTGGGCCTTGCAGGCATCTTGAACAATACCTGTATTTAAGCGCTTGTCACTCTGTCACAATTAGGCTTCCCCACAAAACTGGAGTTCCTTTGGGGCAGGAATCATGAAGGGGTGACTCAAATACTGTTGTTGAATAATAATATAATCTATGCTCCCTTCTCTTGACTCACAACCCTGTTCCCAATTAAATGCGTGTAGTTGAAAGGCTTTTTCTACTCAGTCTCTAATCTCCAGTCAGAAGGAGAAGGTCCAAGGGCACTTGGCTAAAGTAGCTTCCTGCCCAGTCCTTCCCCCAGACACCTCCCTCGTCCCTGCCATCTGAAGCAGCCCACCCAGGAATCTGGCTCCACAAATCCCTTGTTTCAGGACGCTTCCAGCCAACAATGATTTTTTCCTCTTACTGGCCCTTGACCTGGACTAGAAATGAGCTCAGAGAGCCTGCTCCTCATCTTTCAGTTTTTGAAGGCCAGGGGAAAACACTTTGTCCAAGGTTATATGGACACCTGAGTCCTGAAATCAAGGCCCACGAACTCTGGCAGGAATCCACACCACACATATATGCAAAGCGTGATAAGCTTTACAGAGCACTTTCACATCTGTTACCTTTTTGATGCTTACAAGCCGGTGAAGCAAATATTACCTCCTACAAATGAAGACACTGTGTCATGATTTGTCCAAGGTTGCTCTCGTTCGGCAATGGAGCTCACCTGGAGGTAATCTCTGGCTAGCTTTCTCCTCTATGCCAGTGCATCTCGAACTTTACCATCCATTAGTTGGGTTTGTTAAACCAAATTGCTGCCCACCCTCAACCTAACTGATTCAGGTCAGGAGCGGGGTAAAAAACATTTGCAGTTCTAACAAGTACCCAGGTGGTGCCGATTTTGCAAGAAACGGATCCACCCCAAGCTATGAAGTTGTTCTGTGCCCTTGGGCTGATACCTTCCCTTTTTGTCTGCCTCAGTGTCTCCATGCCTAATGAGAACAGGTTTTCCCTGTTTATTTAAAAAAAATACTTACTTTTTAAATACATTTGTCTCTGCCTTCCCCCCACCTCTTTCCCTTGCCCCCTCCCACCTCAAAATGAGAAGCTAGGTTAAAACTGATTTCCAAACTTTATTTTTAAGATTTTATTTTTTTAGAGAGAGGGGAAGGGAGGGAGAGAAACATCAGTGTGTGAGAAAAACATTGATCGGCTGCCTCTAGCACACTCCCAACTGGGGACCTGGCCCACAACCCAGGCAGGCATGTGCCCTGACCAGGTTTTGAACCTGCAACCTTTTGATTCACAGGCCAGCACTCAATCCACTGAGCCACACCAGCCAGGGCTGATTTTCCGGGTTTTTAGCTGTAAAACCAACTTAGCAAAAACTTTAAAAATCCCATGTAGAATCCATACCCAACAGAGAAAATCCAGGCTGCTCTGGAGAAGTGGCAGAGGGAAACCAGGAGCCTGCAGCACCTGGGTTGTCATGGAACAGGCGCTGAGCTCTCTCTCAGAGCTCTTTTGCCAGTCTCTTGAGTCAATGTGGCATAGATTTTCTTTGAAGGCTCCTTTTGCTCTGACATTTCAGGGTGCAGAAACACAGCATTTGTCATTTTAGCAAGAGAGGGAAGAGCTGGACAAACGCTGACTTTAATCAGTGCAGGAGACTGCTTGGGCCATGCCTAATGGTTATATCCACACAGGACAGGAAATATTAACCCTGTTGGGCTGCTGGGTTCATGGACCCCTTTCATAATTGGATTCAATCTGTGGACCAGCTCTAGAAAAATGATTATATACACATATTCACAGAGACATTCAGGATATCCTTGAAAAAGTTTTGGGGACTCCCTAGAGGTCCTAACTCAAGTTAAAACCCTTGACTGAGGGCTCTGGCATAACATTTCCACTAAATTCTTCCTTGGCATTTTCACAGCACAAGCCCTCTCCATCACTCCTTGGCTGGAATACTGCTTGGTTCTGGCCCTCACTGCATGCCTCAGGGTCCAAACTGGACCCACAGAGATTCCCCCATGTCTTGCCCAGCTGATTCCTCTCTCCAGAGTGGGGGCTGGGGATCCTGTAGCTAGACTTGTGTTTGGTCAACCACCACCCTGAGAAAAACCAGTAATTTGTGGGGGTGTACCAGAGATCCCTTAAGACACTTACTGGTGACTTTGTCCTTTCTCAGCAGGCAGAGGGCTCTGAGGGGTGAGAACATGGATTACTCATCCATGTGTCTTGGCAGCTCAGAGCGGACACGGGGTAGGCACTCTGTGTCTGAGGGAGTTGAGTGCCCACAGGGAAGAAGCTTCGGCCTTAGTGCACGCTACAGGGAAGTCCACGCTACAGGGAAGTCCACTGTATCTTTTCTGGGCCAAAGGAGTGGGAAAGGAACGAAGAAAGCCTTCTTTCCCTTTCAACTGCTGCTTGGTGCCCAGTGAGAGCAGGCAAGGAAATGAGTCAGAAGCCTGCTGGGTAGTATCATAGAGGTCTGGGTATTCCCCGTCAGGGAGGTTCTGAGCACCCTCCCCTGCTGCTGGCTGGGCTGTGTCCAGCAATGCTCTCTTCTGGTGATGCCTCCTGGTGAGCTGGACTCAAACTAATAGGTGAGGTGAGCACAAATGGTTTGAGTCAGGAAGAAGCTATGGAGCATGGTGATGGAAACAATCAGGGGTAGTGGGCCCAAGGGGCCTCAGGACCCACCTCCCGCTCAAGGCCACACTATGCTCCTGCCTTCTCTGGAGCCCCCAGAATAAAGGGAGGTTGGTTGTTGGTCGCCACAGTACACAACTCCTCATCTCAAAAACACCAACACAACAGTTGCCTGTTTATTGTATTTAAAATAAAAACAAACAAAACCAATCAAAATAACGTTATAGTAAACATGGTGATGGGGCTGATTTTGTTTTTTTTGGTATTTAAAACAAAAACAATCAAAATAACATTCTGGTGAGCACGGGTGCTGTGGCTGATCAGGGCTGTCTCCCGGGTAGTTTCAAGGAAGGTCAGGCGCGCCGGGGGCGGGCCCTGCCCCAGCAGAGGCGGTACTAAGACGGACGTCAGAAGAGCTGCAGACCAGTTTTGAGCCCGTGCAGCTGGCCCTGGCTCCAGAGAAGGCCCTCCAAGTTGTTGCTGTCATTGCCACAGTTGCCACTGCCGATGCCACAGGTCAGGGCCAGGGTGCTATGGAGAGGAGGGGCAGTCAGAGAAGGACGCAGGTCTAGGCTCTGGAAGGGCTAAGAGTGCTTGCCTGGGTGTCTGTGGGAAGGGCCCACCGCTCTGCTTGGCCTTACAAAGAAGAGATTAGAGCAAACCTGAGAAACCACTTCGGACAGCCTCCAGCGATGGCTCTGCTCTCTCCTCCCAGTTGAGGAAGGGGAAAAACAGAACTTTTCAAATGAAACTGTATGCAGAGCCCCAGTATTTAAACCAGATCTTGGTTGAGGGACAGAGGGGTCCTATGTGACCCCAGACAACAGGAAGATATTGAAAGTGGCTGTGTTAACAGGCCACCTTCCAAGGCTGTAGTTCCTGGGGGCCCAGAGAACCCCAGGCTGGATCCCTCCCACTCCCAAGAGCTCGCGAAGGGGCCCAAGCCAGGATTTTAGCTTCGCTCTACCGACACACTGCTCTCCATCCCCACCCCCCCGCCCCCGCCCTGCTCAGAATGCTGTGGTTTCCCCTGCATTCCGCAGGTCAAAGGACCTTCCAGGTAGATGAGGGCGCCAGCTCACATTGCTTCCCTCAGGCAGATTTCTGGCTACACTACAGCTTCTGAAAAAGCCTTTAAGGATGATGCAGTCCCATCCCCTCTTATTACCCTCCAATTTACAGATAAGGGAACTAAGGCTCAGAGATGAAAAGGGACTTGCCCCAGGCGAAAAGCCAAATCAGGGCTGGGCAAACCTGCTCCTCCGACCTGTGGGAGCTGGGCCAAATTAGCTTCCTTCTGGAATGAGGTCCACCTGCCCACACTTAACCCTTGATCCCCTGCTGTCCATCAAGCCAGTCTTACCCAAGGAGACAGGAGGCTTCTGACATGTGGGCCCCAGTCTCAACTACACACCACCCGGCTTGCCCAGCTGCCTCGTCCCTTCTCCTCTCTAAGAGGCCTGCTGTCCCCTAGCCTTGGACAGCCAGCTCATGGCACTGCCTTGGGCCTGGCCGGCTGCTTGCCTCTGAGTTCTCCAGTCCTCTCCCCGAATTTCCAGAGCTCCTCAGCAAGGGCTGCGTGGTTCCTGCCTCCCTGATGACCCAGAGGCGAGTTTCGAGGGAGAGGCTTGCTACTGAGATGCCTGGACAGTGTGGGGAAGCCCACTGAGTACTCTGTGAGTCTTTGGACAAATCCCTTCCCGCTTCTGGGCCTGTTTTCTCCTCAGGGACCTGAGGAAGTTGGATTAGAGTATCCAGTTGGATTCGAGCATCTGTTCTTGACCTTTGGGGAGTGGCAGACCCTTTAGAGAACCTGTTGAAAGCTATGGGACTCTCTCCTCGCAAACTGCACAGAGACACACACATACACACTTACACATGGGCAAATACTCGGTGCAATCAGAGAAGGCTGCCAAGCCAACTTTGATGTGGCTGCCTCACTGGCTGGCCTCGCTGGCTGCCCTCACTGGGGGCTGCGGGGAGCCTTTGCGAGGGCCCAGCCATGGACTGGAACTTATACTTCACTCATTTAGGCCCTGACTGGGGACAGCTGTGTCCCCCACCCATCCCACTTTGTGTCCTCTCCGTCCCTCCTGTTTTCCATCCCACAGGATGCAGAGAAAGGGGTGGGAAATCCTGCTGCCGTAGGCACTCACCCCATCTTGCTTGTTGGGGGTTCCAGCCGCTGCTCTAGCACAGGCTGGTCCAAAAGATACATGGTGTCATAATTCTCCACCATGAGCTCTGCTGGGTCCTCGGTCTGACCCGGCATGAGGCCTAAGGGGAAGGTGTCCCACCGCACATCCTCTGTGGAGCAAAGGGAGCAAGAGAGGGTTGATTAGCTAGTTCTCAGACTGGTGCATGGGCCTAGCTCCTCGGTGTACCCACCCACGTCACTGAGGCCACTCTTTTCCCCTGTTCCCAGACATGTCGCTACACAGACACAGACAACATCTTTAGACTAGGTGTATCACTATATAAACCTCTCACCCTTACCCTGATTTCCATATGCGTATATGTTCTGGAAAGTCTACATGGCCCCAAATTCCCACCTCACGTCCTCCTCAAATGCACAGACACCTCAGAGTATGTGGAGGATCTGGATTGCCTGCATACGTCCACACAAACTCCCTGATGTGTTTGAAGGCCACACCACTTCTTAGTGGCCTTGGCTTGTGAGATTGACACACCGCCTCAGGATGAACTCCCTTTCAGGGACAATACGCTTCCCTGATCCCCTGCCAGGTCTTGCTGTCCCCAGGTGCACACTCAAACAACACCCCTTCTCAAGGGAGGGGCTGTGTCACCACAAATCCCAGCCCCCACCATCACCTAAGTACCACCAGCATACAGACTGAGTCCTCTGTTCAACAAATGTTCCCCTTTACACCCCGCCTCCTACATGTCTCATTCACAGGCACAAAACCCAGACATCTTAATGCTACTGCATTCCCACGTGTGTGTGCACACAGAGGAAGCAATGTCATGGGCTCGGAGACAGAAAGGTTTTAATGTCCTCACCTTTCCATGTTCCCAAACCACAGACACGCCAAGACCTGACAGTCGACTACGTCAGGGACCCTCGGCCCTTGGCTCTAGCATTTAAACGCTGTCCACACGGCATTATACTAAATGCCCGTCCCCGTCCTCACACCAGTGTTTTCAAGTGAAGCCTTTAATAGTGAGCTTCTGCTAGTAGATCCACTTTCTGGTATTCTGCGTTTCCTTGGTATCCAAAGAATTCTCCCTGTCATTGTGCCCCTAGCATTCTGGAAGTGCCAACCTTGGAGTAGCTTTTGATGTTCCCACACAAGCCCCTCAGGAAGGGGCTTGCCTGTTGCGTGCCTGGCTCATTTCCGCAGCCTGGCTCTTTTATGAGAAGGCAGCGGTGCCTGTCTTGATGCCCAGCATCGCCCTGTGCACACAGAGACAACTGTGTACACAGGGACCTTGCCCCCAAGTCACTGATCTGACCTTCCTTCCTCCCCATCTAATCACTGCCCCTGCCTCTCTAGCCGGACGGCCTTGTGCATGTTCCTTCAGGGACACCATGGACACACACAGGGGATCTCTGGATGGGAGTCTCACTGCCTGTTGTCATACTTTCCCAGACACCCCCACCTCATTGTACACATGACGTGTACGTGTATACCCAGGTGCATGGACACTGACTTCACAGTGATCTCTTTGCACAGCCCCTTCTTCTCTTAAACACATGCGCACGCTACCTGTGTCAATGTCTCTCGCTCGCTTCTGATAGTTATGAACACCCACAAAGACCTCCTTGCCCTACGGTGTTTGTGTCACTGTGCCTTGGTTTGCCTAGCATATGCAGGCACACGCCCGGTCACACACACAGACATAAACATGTTCCTTCACCCCCTAGCACTCAGGGCCTTCATGCCCCCACCCTTGCACGCACCCACACACAAGGGCAAAGGCTCCACGCTCCCCTCAGTTCCTTCACTGCCTCCCCTCCGCCCGGCTCCACACACAGGCTGGACGCACATCTAAGTGTGGATGCAGGCACTTGTGCCCAGGCTGTTCATTCCTTTGGGGTCTCCCTGCTTTAAGGTTCTTGCTCCCCAACCTAAATGAGGGCAATCAAAACACCATCCTCAGGAGGACCATATTCATGTTCCCCCACTTTCTTTTTTTTAAACAAGATTTTATTTATTTTTAGAGAGAGGGGAAGAGAGGGAGAAACAGACAGAGAAAAACATCCATGTGTGGTTGCCTCTTGCGCGCCTGTGCCCCAAACGGGAATTGAAATGGCGACCCTTTGGTTTGCAGGCTGGTGCTCAATCCACTGACCCCACACAACCCTGGGGGGTTGATCACACAACCGTCCCTGTTCTCTGCCAGCTTCGTCTCCCTAGCTTGAATGCTCACCAAAAAACCATGTCGCTCCTTATTCTCTCACTATGCTGATCTCACTTCTACTGACTGAATGCCCCTCGGTTCCTTCTTTCTCATACACGCAGCGAAATCCTGTCTCATCACCACCCCGCCTCCTGTGTGTACATACACATTCATGTATGCACAGAAAGCACTCCTTTGTCTCTGGGCCCGGCATCACTGCGTGTGAGGAACACATGCAGAATCGGACATGAACCCACTGTCTACCTCTCACTTCCTCCTCTGCTGGGTGGCACAGGACCCACACCCACACCATCCCCTGTGAGTGTGCTCTCAGCGTGAAGTAGCCAGCGGCGGTGTCCAGGTCCCCGGCACTTTTATGCTTCATGTTAAGGGGCAGGGAAGCCAGCTGGCAAGCATATTACTAGGCTGCCTCCAGGCTTGCCTCACACGTGCTACCTCTTGCTACCCTCCATTTCTTAGCTACTTTCCATTTCTTCTGTAGGATGAACAAATGGCTCAGGAGGCAGCCTGAGAGAGCGGGTGGGTGTGGGGAGAGCATGGGTATCAGCTTCTTACCTGAGCTCACTTGCCATGCAGAGCCCTGCAACGCTGCTCTTTTCTGGGCCAGGAGACTGGCACTCTCGGCACTGGGGGACTCCTCCACCAAAGACAAAATCCCCACCTCCATTCTGTCTTCCTCCTCCTCGTCTTCATCGTCTTCATCATCTTCGTCATCTTCGTCTTCATCTTCCTCCCACTTCTCTTGGTCAACGTTTTCCGCTTCCTCCTCTTCCATGGGGTCTTCCAAGGCCTCTTTCTCCTCCTCCTCGTTTTCCTTGATATCATTCAGGCTGCCCTTCTCCTCCTGCTGCTGGCCTTCTCCTGCAGGCCCGAGGACGGAGCCGGCTGGTTTGAGGCTCCAATACAGGTTGTCTAGGGTGTACGCAGACTTCCCAATGGGGGAAGGCTCTGTGCCCTCCTGCGCCAGGCTGGTTTTTCCGTTCTGGGTATAAATGGAACAGATGCGCAGCAGCTTCTCCTGCTCCTCATCTGGCAGGACCTGCCCCATGGCCTTGAAGATCCTGCCCAAAGGGAGGGGTGGGGTAAAAAAGATTCAGAATCTCAAGTCACAATATATCTACCACTCCAGTTTCAACTCGGTCTCTGAACTTCCAGACCTGCCTCTGAAAGGCTGGGCAGCAGAGTGGATGGAACGCAATGGTAAGACTATGGACCCTGAACAAGAGCTGGGATTCAGCTCCATGGCTCACTTCCATTGTCAGTAAAATGAGAACAATAATGCCACCTAATAGAATGCCTGGCACATAGTGGGCTTGCAATAAATGATAGCTAATATTAACCTGTACTAAAATGCTATGTAAATATACAAACTAGACAATAAGCCTACAGGGCTGGATATGAGAATGGCAGATTCTCTGGCCCATCTGAGCAACCTGTCCTGAGCACCAAGGACACGCCCCTTCTGGTTGGAACATGAGTGTGATCCCTCTCTGGGAACAACTACGGTCCAGCCCAGAATGGGGAAAAAAAGCAGAAAAGCAGCAGTCGACAAGACAAAGCAGGATGTAGGAGGGCTGTCAGGTGAACACTGAGGACCTCGGGCCCTACCGGAGCCGGGGGAGGAAGAAAGCACAAGGAAGGCAGGAGAGATCAAGGGAGGACTTGGTGCGGAGACAAGAGCGGGCACACTGTGCTGGACCGTGTGGCGAGACAAGCCTGGCTCCGGGGGAAGGGCTGTGCTCAGGAGCTGTGGGAGGAAGAAGAGGCTGCAAAGGTTAAGTGTGCGTGTTGGGCGGAAGGGTCACCTGGTGGCGGAGCACGGGTACAAGGTGCACCTCTGAAGATCGCCACGGTGCCCGTGTGGAGGACGGCCATGTCTAGGGTGGCTGAGATGGAAGCAGGGAGACCAGGGAGCGCCGGTGGGGGCTGACCCAGGGCACGGGCCGTGGAGATGGCGGGGAGCTGTGATGGAGAACAGGGCTGGATGAGCAGAGGGCACGGGTCAGGCAGAGGAGACTTAAAGATGACGCTACAGTGGTGCGCACACAAGACGGTGGTCACGACAGAACTGCCCACAGACACAGAGCCTCTGGGAAGGGAGAGGGCGAGCACGCCCTGCAGAACCTCCCGGACAACCGGCCACCGAGCAGCCACCTGGTCAGCCACGAAGGCGAGGGTGGGGTGCACAGATGGGTAGCTTCTTCCTGGTGCATCCAGGTTGAACAGTGGGCCCTTCGTGGAGGGGCCATATGTTCCGAGGGGGCTGTTTGCTCTCTGCACCCCACAGGCAGACAGGCCACGTACGGGTGGTCTCTGGTCACTGGTCGCAGGGAGCAGGGCTCGAGGCCAGTGCCTCTGCGAGGAGACTGGGAGACCTTCCCTGCGGGGCTCCTGTCACATGCCCTCAGGACATGGGCTCAAATTGCATTGATGTTGGCTGGCTGGGGGAAGCTCTGGAAAAGCTGCCAGCTTTATCAGAGGAAAAGCCAGAGAGAAACACTCTTCCCTCTCACTGTGGTCCATTAGTATGATTAATAATGAATATTCCTAGGCACTTGACATTGGCAAGATGCCGTATCACCGCTGTTTCCTATTACCCACTCGCTCTCCCGAGCTGTCTAGCCTGCCCACTGAGGTGCAGGGCTGATGGGAATCTTAAAATGCATCTCCTTTCTCGGTTCGTCGGGTCACAGGTGAGGCTCATGGAAAGACGATGCCCTTCGCACTTGCAAGACCTGTGCCCAAATCTCTGCCCCACTGTCCACAAGCCATGTGACTTCTGGAGAAGTCTTTTTGCTCCTCCTAGACTCAGTATCTTTCTTATCCATCCAAGAGGGGTACTATTCCTCCACCTTCAAAGCCTGCTGTGCCAAATGAAATAACTTCTACTAAAAACACAGCACCGCACCTGACAGTGAATGGCCAACACTAGCTTTTATTTTTCCTCAGGGGAAAACAAAAGCTACCTTTTTTTGTGCGTGCCTAATAACATGCTTTCGGCAACAAGGCCACCCACTGGAATGCTGTACAAAGAGCACAGGAGTAAGGACAGGATATCTGGATTTTGACCTCAGCTCGGACATGCCGAACTTGCTATGGACTTGCAGCATAATACCTGACTAAATCCGGGTTTCCCTATCTGTGCAATGCTGTGATTTGGACTAGATTCACTGATTATCTGGGGAAAGCAGGATCTGTGCACAAGAAATCACGCTCAAGTGAGCCACTGTTGTTGCTGGTATGTGTCACATCCCCCTGGCATGCTTGGGTGGGGAGATCTCTGTGCTCCAGACTTCTACGAGACCAGCTGCTTCCACTCTGCAGCTGCAAAGTGCTCTCTGCACTCTGTACTTAGGATTGCAAAGTACCTTGAAGGCCACCTGTCCAAACCTCTCCTTGCTCTTTTCACTCCCTCTCTCCAGTATGTAACACATCCTGTGTTCCTCCTGCCTTTGAAACTTCCTTTATTGTCTTCTGTCCTCCAATTGCTCCAATGCCTAATCTGTAACACTTTCCAGACCGCTCTGTGCCTTTTTTTTTGGTTCTTCTCCCAGTTTCCCACCCATCCACATCACTTCCAGTCTAGAGCACACACCCCCGGAGATTTGGGTCTCTCATTCAGTCCCATCTCCTGCAGGTCTGGCCCGGGACGGCTTTGAGCACGAGGCTACCTTTTTCTCTTACAAACTACTACTGTGCCCCCACAGGCATCATGGCTCAAGAAAGACTTTCTGGTCATTTTGGGTGACTCAGGGGACTAAGGGGGCCTTGGCATCCAGACTCCACCTTCATTCATTTCCCATTTCCCAGGCGCGGAGTCAAATGTAGGAGGCTGAATCTTGGGGCAAAGGCTTGGGCTGGACAAAGAGACTTGAGCCTCGGCACTTTAGAGGAACTAGTAAAAAAGCACGGGCATTTCAAGGAGGGAGTGGTAAACAGCATCAATGCTGCAGACACAGTGACGGACCAGGGCCCACGGCATTTGGTGATTAGCTCCAAGTAGCTCTTGGGGTAAACACCAAATTGTGGCAGGGCGAGGAGTAAGAGGGTCGTGAGGAAATTGAGATTGTTCAGTGTAGAGTTTCTTTTGAGGTGTTCTGATGGGAGAGGAAGCAGAGAAGCTGGTGCTAACCTAACCGAGGGATGCAGGGTCAAAGCAGGTTTTGCTTGTGTTGTTATTGTCGTTTTAGGGTAAGAAACAGTCAGGCACATTCATAGGTAGAAAAGCAAGAGCTGGTGGCACCAAGGGAGAGGCCGGCATGAGGCCCCAGCAATGCTGGCAGAGGTGGCTCCCCAGCACAGGCGGCAGAGAGGCTATGAGGCGGGGAAAGGCCACCTCATCCTGACACTGGTGAGCAGGTTGAGTGTAGCCGCAGATCAGTTCACAAGAACTAGACTCTGGGTCGAGGGGCCCTGTAGGACGCCTCCTTGTGCTTGAGGAACCTAGGGGGAAAGGTGGAAGGCGGAGGGGCTTTGAGGTGAATGGTAAGGGGTTAAACAGTCAGGAAACAGGAAAATGGGCAGAAAACAAGCAGTTCAGATGAGCAGAACTGAGGTCACGCCCAAGATTAAAAATCACACCTGGGCAGTGGCAGCAATCTGCAGGGCTATGTGCTTTTTCCTCTGGCAGAGCTGAGGGGAGCAGAATGGGGATCAGTCCCAGCTCAGGGGTTTGCAAGTCAGATGTGGCAAAGCCAAAGGTGCTGATGGGCAGCTGAAGGGATCAACCACAGGATCCAGGGAAAGCAGGGTCGAGGGAGTAGGAAATGCAGGGATGGAGATCTGGATGCGGGCAAAGAGCCGATGCTATGGGGTACAACGGTAAGGACTGGAAGGACAAGAGGTGGTGATCACTACGTGAGAGGCTGGCATGTAAGCTTTGAGAGATGGAAATGGGTTGCTGCATATCATGGAGAATGAAGGTCACTGGAGCTGAGATGCTGCAGTGTCAGATGGATCCCTTGAATGAAACCGACATCGTTCCAGAAAGCAGGAAGAGAATTGGCTTCCGTGAGTATGAGGGAAGCGGCTCACGGTGAGGAAGTGACAAAGAAAATGGAAGGGGGACAACCACAGACAATGACAGGAACCAGTGCAACATTCAGATTGACCACAGCGCCCACAGTGGATTGGATAAAGGGGGATCGCATGAGGTGGGGTTACAACGGTAGGTTGAGGCGGAGTCAGAAAGATCTTTGAATGTCAGGCCTAAGAAGCTTAGATCTCAGGAAGGCCAGAGAGAGCCACTGAAGGTTGCAGAGCTTCTATGAGAGGGGTATTTGGGGAAGACAAGAGAGGAAGCAGCACTGGGCTTAGAGCCAGAACCTGGGTTCAATAATAAACAGCAGCTACCATTTATTGTGCACTCTGTACAGGGCACTGTGCTAAGCACTCTAAAGGGGTTGTCTCATCCATTCTCATACTGGACTCAGTTCTCCCATCAGTCAGTGGGAGGGAGACGGGACTAGTTGTCTTGGCAAGGGCCGGTCTAACTCTGCCATTGTAGCGCTGTGCGGCCCGAAGGCCTGCAGTGCCTCACCCTCTTAACAGACGGAATTCAAGAGACTTACAGCTGAAGGAGGTGGGGGCTGGCCCAGCAAGGTGAGCCCAAGCAGGACTCAACCATCCGGGGCCAGTCAAGGGAGGCAGAGCAGTTGAAGAGCCTCCAGCTCTTTCTTGCTTCCCACTGGATGGCAGAAAATCGGCGGGCATTCCGTCCTGAGAGAAAAGAGAGGGCCTGAGGAGAAAGAACCAGGAACCGCACCCCCCAACTCCCAATCCAACCTTGTCCTTTGAAAAACTTGACGCTGGCCCTCCCTACCCCAGCCCCCAACTCCCCACTCTATACCCCCCAATTGCTCAAAGCACTGTGGAAGTGCTTTGCCTCCAGCTCAGTTTAGTCGCCTCTGAGAAGAAAAGGCAGAGGGAGATTTGTCCCTCCTGGGCAAACCTAAACCTTTAACAAGGGATGTGTCCACCTGGTGTTATTCAGCCCAGCTGAGAACGGGGCAGGTGTTCTTGTTTCGGCGATGTTAGGCCCTGAGGCTAGGGCTAGTCTCCCTCACCAGCCTTGGTGTTAGCCACGATCAGTTCAACGGTCCATCTCAGGATGTAGGTGGCCCGGATCCCAGTGCTCCCCAGGGCTGCCAGCTCGGAGAGCATCTTCTCCAGGAGCGCCTGCGTGAAGGCCTCAGAGTGCAGGCCCCTGAGCAGGGGCTGCCAGAACTGAGAGAACGGCTTTGGTACCACGATATCATTGAAGTCCATATTTTCTGGTTGTTTAAGGGCCATGCGTCAAAAGAGAGAAGAGAGGTGGGGGGTTGCAAAGGGAGACAGGGAGGGAGAGGGAGAGGGAAAAACGGGGAAGAGGGATAGAGAGAGAGAGAGAGAGAGAGAATGGGGGAAGGGAGGGGAGGAGCGAGAGGGGGAAAAGAGAGGAGACCCCCATCACCAACAAAAACAGGTGCCGTTCACAGAACCGGAGGAGAGAGAGAGCAGAACAGCAGGAAAAGAAACTAGTTAGTATCCGGCAACCAACAATTCACTCAAAACAGTACACAAGAAAGAGAGCTCTGGTTCTAGCTTCAGCTCTGTCAGTAACTCACTGTGTGACTCTGGGTCAGTACCTTCCCCTTTCTGGACCTCAGTCTGCCCGTCTGTAACATGAGGATGTTGAACTAGATGACCTCACAAGGTCTTTCCAGTTCTGCTGTTCTAGCTCTCTAGCAAGTGGCTAAATCACAATTAACACAGCACAATAATAGCGTTAGACTCCCCCCCACCCCACCGCAGCCCACCCAATTCCAGGCCCCCTAAGGAAAGCCCAGTCAGGGCTTATCAGTGAGTTTACCTGTTCTTCTCAGCCCAGTGGGGCTTCCAGAGGGTATGGAATGGCAGGAAACAGCATTTCCCCAGAGCCCAGGCCCACCAAGCCCACCCCTGGTGTTCTTGCCTCCAACACATTCCCCCAGGCAGCAGTGAGCCCCCAAGACCCTACCTTCATACTCTATCTGCAAAGCTGCCAACTGCTCAAACGTAGGAATAAGAAAGCCATCATCCAGAAAAGCATCCAGCACAACATCCCTGGAGAAAAATGACACTCAATTAAACAAACTGAAACAGGCGGGAGACCCTCTCCTACTCTCCTACCCACTCCCAAAGCAGCTAATGCCTCTGGCTCAACTGGCCAAAGCAGCATGGGCGGGGGTGGGAATGGACAGTTGACGGTTGGATCTCAGGCCCCAGCCTCCTGGGGAAGGGGCTGGGCCAGAGACTGCGATCAGTGGGTTCCGAACAAGCATTCACCAAGCACATGCTGACCTAGGGCCCGTAGTGAGGGCAGCAGAGGCTGATCAAGCCGCAAGCACAGATGGCGAACAGTCGCAGGTCCGCAGAGGAGTTAAACGTCTGGAGTCAGTGGGTTAAGGGATTTTAGATGTCAGTTCCTGCTCAGGCTCTTTGTCTGGACAGTCCTCTGGTCTCCTACCCCTCTCTTACCCCCCAGTTGCTCTCTTTCAGATCCCAGAAGCAGAAACCTTGGGGATTCAATTGCTGGGCTGCATATGATCCCTACTTCCAGGGACTCAAAGAACCCAGAACTGAGTTACAGGGGTTGCAAGTGTAGGCTACGGGAGTAATTCCTCACCCCCGTCTGCTCAGACTGACACCAGCCACAGCCAGCTGTCTCCTCCAGAGCCAGCGGTCCCTCCGCCAGAGAGGCTCTGCTAGCTGAACAGGGCTGGCGGGGAAATGAGAGTTCCCAGGGTATCTCAACGCACGGAGACTTCTCATACTCAGATCCCACACTCTGCTACGCTAAAGAAGGAAAGGAGTTGTCTGTCCTTCCATCAGCCTCCCCAGGTCAGTATCCAGGAAGAGCACCTAAAGAAGCCAGTCAGCTGCGTGCTCAGCACAGCCAGACAGATGCTACTGTACTGGGGCATGAGGATAGTTTCCCCCAGCAGCTGAGGGGGCCACTGCCCACACCTTTGCTGAAGGCTGCGGCCAAGAAGCCTAGGCTGGGCAAACATTGAGAAAACGCCTTTGGACCCAGTAGTATCCTGGAAGTGAGGAAGGCTCCAGGGGCAACCCCAGCCTGCCCTGCGGGCTCTTATTGAGGCCCACTCTGCCACCTACACACCACCTTCCTGCACCCTCTGCCGCGTCCCAGTTCCATTCCTGTCTCTGGCTGGGAACACCTAGGGCTGTGCCCACAGGTTCTCAGGGGTATGTCCCCCAAAGTCCTTTCCAGCTGAATTTAGGCAGCAAGCCCCCAAGAACCAGGGAGGACAGGAAGAGACAGACATTGTTTGTCTGCCCTGGATTGAATGAAGCGCTAATTTTGGTGGGAGGGGAAGATGGGTCATGGCCATACCGAGTCGGGATGGACTTAGTCTTTGGAGGAGTCATACCCTGAGAAAGCCCCAATCACAACCCTCCAGGGGATGCTCATACTCGCCAACAGAATTTCAAAAGGAAAGAGCAGCAGTGCCCGCCATGTATCTTTTACTTCAAACTTGAACAAGGCCCCAACAGTGAAGGGATAAGGAATAAGGGCTTTTCCCAGTTGCCAAGAGCTCCACATACCACTGGACAGAGAGGAGCAAACCTGGCTAGTGGGCAGGTGACAGCAGGCATCCTGCCTCCAGCCATTTCCGTGATTCACAGTAGGCAACCCCAGCCTGGTAGCTGACAGCGCCAAACGAAAGGGATGATGGTTTAAGATCACCCAAATAATAAAGCCAAATCTTAGCTAAACTGTAAAAAGTCCTAGCTATTGTAAGATCGTGTTCAAGCTCAACAACCCAACAATCTTAATTTCAAAAACATATGCTAACTCCTAACACGAAACTGCACCATTCCATTATCATATGGAAGAGATAATGTTAATATGAGTAACAAGAATAAATTCTCCTCTTTCTCCTAATTAGAAACTAGAACGTAGGGTCACCCTGTGTGGGGATCAGAACGATCCCAGAGACTTCCCGCAGCACAGCGTGGCAAGCTGGGATATGGAAACTGATTTCAGTGGGGTCGCTACGCTCTACCCTAGAGGGCAGGCCACCCCTGATGGCTTAGTTACCCACCTGTTCTCCCATGTAATGCCTTTGAGGTCTGCCAGGATGCAGTCTACAGGTGGAGGCAGCTGATTCCACACCTTAATGGCCTGAGGTAGATACCTAAATTTCTCCAGCACCTGCCAGCAAAGAGGGTCCCATCAGCAGGCTGGTTTGGCCAGGTCACCTGCCCCCACCCCTCCAGGATCGCTTCCCATAAGACCTCTCAGCACCTTCCTTGAGGGGATAGGGCAGGGCACGCAGGGGTGGGCCCGCCACTCTCCTATGGGACCTGCAACTAAAAATATCCTGACCCTCAAATGCTAGACTATCCCCTCTCCTCCCCCCACCACTGAATTCCCTGTGGCTCCCAATCACCAGATACCCTAATACTAAGTTATCTACCGGGGGCATTTGGATGGAGTTGGGCAAAGACTCTCGGGCCATGGGGCGAGGGGAAGTGATGGATTATGGAAGACAATCTGGAGACCCAAGTTCTAATCCTAGTTCCACCACTAACTGCATATGTGATCCCAGGCCATTCCACTTATTCATGGCTTCCATTTCTCCATCTGTGAAAAGGAAGGGTTGAGCTAGAATGATTTCTAAGCTATCTCCCTTCCTGCTAAAAACAGGACGCCTTAAGCGCACCTGATCTATGAAAGTTCTTTGGGCGCCACCTGCTGAACAGCTGCAGTACTGCAGGCCTATGCAACCACCTATGCCCACTTGTTCCCTACCACTGATTAGGCGCTAACTTCCATCATCTGCTCCCCTCCATCACTGTGGAGGATCAGCCAACTGGACTCTGACCCTCGTCTCCTTCCTTTTGCCCCCTCTCTCTTACTGAGAGGTTCCCTCAAGCTTTGCCACTTCTCTTTCAAACTCCTTCTCAGGTAGCTGGCAAAAGGGAAGAAATGGCTGGGGCCAAGTTAAGGGCCCTTTCTTACCTTAAACTGCTCCTCTTCATAGGATATCAGCAGTTCTCGGGCTCTTTCTGAAAACCAAAGAGGGAAACAGATAGGGCAGCCAGCCTAGCCCCTTCTACTGATGGAATTGTGAGCCCCTCTCATCTTATTTCTTGGGTAACGAGAATCCTCACCTCTCCCACTTCACAAGGCTTAAGGAAGGTGGTTTGTGACATGATTCATTTAAGATGCACCACAACCCCAAAGGGAAGGCTGAGCAAGGAAAATAACTACTGTCAACCCTAAGCCCGAGAGGGGCTCGCGAGTCCCTCTCTGCCCACCCCCAGTGACACCTACCATACAGCTCTTTATTCCTGCGAGCCTTTTCCCAATGTGCATCCATCTCTTTGTCGCCTTGGCTCTCTCCACCAGCCCTGACATCCAGCTCTGCAGCTTTCTCCTCATCCTCAGCCTTTGGTTTATGTTCTGTGATGTCCTCAACAATGCTCTTTACTTCCTCCTGGTTGTCTTCATCTCCGTCTTCCTTGTCTTCCTCCAACTCCCATGCTTCTCTCAGACTGTTCTCCAGTTGGCGGCACCAGTAGGTCTTCTGGAGCCAATTCAGGACAAAATAGCAACCTAGAGGGGGGCAGGAAGACAGGCAGTGCCACAGAAGCAGCCGCACGCAAGCCGCCAGCCTCACCTTGCAAGCACCAGGGGAAGAGGCTTGACTCCAAGAAAGCACAAATCTCAAATATCCATAAGCAGCCCCTCTTGCTTGGGGCTATTTGCTTTCCCCTGCTTACAAGCGCCTTTTTTCGAAAAAACCTAACACTGGATTTGCAAACAGGATGCCAAAAATGGCACAGGACTGGCAAGTGGGGGAACAGGGACAGTCCCACTAGCTAGTTACGTGGCCTTGGCCAAGTCTCTTCTCTTTTTCTAGATCTCAGTTCCCCCAACATGAAGGGGCTAGGCTGAGTGACTGGTTCTCAGTTGGAACGGGGTGTCCAAAGCACCTCTGGGCTCATGACATTTAATGACTCGCACCTTTCCACCTGTTCCCACTCCCCTCTTCCTCCGGCACAAAACTTAAGGAGATGCCAAAAAAAAGCGCCCTAATTCAGAGCAGAATCGTGCCCTGCCAAGCCACACTGGAGTCTAAAGCCAAAGGAGAACTCAATAACACTAACTCTGTCTTCATTTAAAATTTTGGGGATTTTATTCATTGTGGGGTTTTCCCAAATTAAAATGTTATCTATTGTGACTACTGAGCTTTTGACACCCTCTTCGACTTTGTTCCCGAGACGCGTGCCTCACTGGCCTCACTCTAGTCCTGGCTTTGACCCCAGGTGGGGACCCTCCTCCCTCTCCCCACAGTGTCACCGAGCCCTGTTCCCTACGCTTAATTGTGATAGATATACACCCTGGGGACTCACCTCTGCGGCAGTCATTTATATGGGGCATTTTCTTGTGGGTAAGCTGATGGCGAAGTTCAACAATCCAATCTGGAATGTTCACCTGATTGTGGGGGAGGGCGTGAGTGCCAAAATTAGAAACTAGTAAAGCTGGAGGGGAGCACAGGCACGAAGGAGACTGGCCTCCCCCCGTTTTACAGATGGAGAAACTGAGGTCCTGAGAGGAGGTGTCAGTCTTTGTGGAAGAGCTAGGATGAGAAACCAGGTCTCCTGATTCTTTTTACTGCTCTGAGAAGGTAATCTTGAAAATCAGACACTTGCCTCCCCCCAACCACCAACCACATTCCTCCAACAAAGAGATTCCTATAAGCTACCGTTAACAATACCAGTCCCTCTTCCTGAGTACCTTGTACCCCTCCCTCCCACCTTCCCTCCCTCCCTCCCTCCCACCCTCCCTCTGTCCCACACTCCCTCCAGGAAGCTGCACTTGATGGCTGAGAACCCTCCTGCCCTCTACACACCTCACACACTCACTCAGGGCAGTAATGCCTGGCATTTCCATGCTGCTTGGCTGAAGTTGTCTCCTCCAGCAAACTGGCAGCTCCCAGAGGGCAGGCGCTGTGACTGCTACCTCTTTCCTGTCCCCACCCAGTAATGCATTCCATGTGGGCACCTTAGCTTTAGGCCAAGCCCACCGGAGAGAGCAGGCATAAACAAGGGAGGAAGTCTCCTTGTTTCCTTTTTTCGAGCTGGAGGCTGAGGCTCTGGGGTTCTTGCTGGGCTTGGCGCGCAGTGATGACATGAGGTAGCCTTGCTGTGTGCCCACATCACCCCACGCCCCATATAGTGAGCCCTCCTGGGGAAAGAGAGTTGAGCGAGACCACTTTGTCATACACACCTCCTGAGCCAGGCACTTGAGGGGGAGCCTGGCAGACTTTGTCTTCCTCTCCGAGATAAGATTCACAAACCTGGGGTTGGGGGAGAAATGAGTGGCACAGCCCAAGTTAACTGTTTTAGTCAAAGCAGTGGGGCGTCAAAAGCCCTCGCTGCTTTACTGACACCTTGCATTTCCACAACCTGTCCACTGACTGTTCTGTCCTGTTCTTATGGTCAGTGTGTGCACAGCAGGGATGGTCCCATCCAGTCCAGCATTTACTGAGAGTCTGTCCTGTACTGAAGCCACACAGGTGAATAAGACACTGCTTTGGTCTTGAAGACTTCAGTCTAGGATAAATAGTCATGACACGAAACAGCATATGATGATAGAACATACTGCGTTATAAATGCTAGAACCAAGGACTATGTCGCATGACAATGGGGAGCGCAGCTAAACAACGGAGAAGGTAAGAGGAGCCAGGAAGGACCTTGAGGGGACTAGGATGAGATGAGCAAAATGTCTGACAGGTGAGAAAACGCAGTAGCCCTTTTCCCGATGTGCATGAGAGAGCTAGGACCACACTGAGGCACTTTGTAAGTCTGGAACTCCCAGCCCACATCTCCACATCCACAACTCAGCAACATTTCAGAGAAGAAGAGGGTAGTGCTAGGTGTACATTGGGGTAGGGTTGGAAAATCCACATTAAACCATGGGACAGGGACACTGAGCCATTCAGAAAAGTTTCTGCGGATGAAAGGGTTGGAGCGGGGAGAAAGAAATCAACCTGTTAAAGCTGGAAGAGACCCACAGAGATCATTTGGTGTGAACCGCCCCCCACCTCACATTCTAAGAAAAAGAAGGCAAGAAAAATGGAAGAGAGAAGGCTCTCAGGTGAAGAAAGAGAGGAATGTGTGTTGACAGAGTATGACAAAGCTGTCGAGGAATCACAGGGTGACTGATACACAAGGACACACGTGGCTTTTTCCTTCGGATGGCACCTGACGCCAAAATTTGTTCATCACATGCTAACCTCCACCCACCCCTACCCCCCAAACCACCCTCCACCCCTACCCATGTGGGTCTTACCTGACCAATGCCATGCCATAGAGCAGTCTAAGTTCATCAGTGCCCAAGCCACCAGTTACATCCAAGAGCTTACAGCGTACGAGGTCAGCAGTAGAAGCCACTGCCAGGGGCAGTTCGTTGCCTAACCTAAAGGGCCACAGTCCAGCACCATCATAAAGGTCCCTGACACTGGTCCACCCTCCACCTCACAACGAAAGTTGCTGTAGGCTATTCCAAACACAGTGGTGTGAAAAGGAGGTTTACAGCTGTGAGTATGCAAAACTGTTTATTCTTGTATTATTACTTCTTAATGATTGTATTGTTTATTTGTATGACAGCTGTATACCTACTTTTTCCAATCTCTGTATATACCGCCTCAGGTGTACATGAATGGACATGAGTCCAGAAGGTGGAAAGAGGAAAGGCAATGTCCCTGAGATCCAACAGTATACAGGGCATGAGAAGTTGGCCAGGATACACAGAGGATATCTAACTGCTATGCAATCAACGAACAAGTCAGCATGGACACAACCCTTTCTTTCCCCTTAAACCCCCAATTCATTTTGCTAGAGAAGACTGTTTCCTTGAGAATTTTACCCCTGGTCCGCACCCAAATCAATCTTACCAACTGGGCTGAGGCGTCCCATTCAAACACGGGTTTGCGGGCAACCTCCCCCCGAACCTCTCTAATTCAAATCGGGAATCCACCCTAGGATGCTAACTTACTCCTTACGCCCTGGCTCAGTCACACCGGTCCCTCCGACACCCTCCTCAAGATGGGGGAAGTTAGGGGTAAAAGCTTGCATATTTAACAGGACGCTGGCTGAGGCACACCCTCTTTCTTTCCACAAACAGGATTAGCGCCAGAGCATGGCTGCGACTTTCCCTCAGGAACTTGAGAGAAGCAACACCCAAACCACTCAGAGGGGTACCCGCGGCAATTTTTGGGAAAGACTAGAGAAAAAAACCCTTAAAGGATTTCCACAAACGAAGGCGTGACCAGCACACAGGCAGTAGGGCTGAGCAGATTGCCTTACCTGCTCCTCCACGCTGTGATGCGATTCAGTGCGTACCGCTGCAATTTATGGTCGTCGCAGAACAGGTACACCGTCACCTGATCCCACTCGGCCTTACTGAGCCAGGCAACTACGATGCGCTGAGCCCAGAGGGGCGACACATTTTTCTCTTTGACGCCCTTCCCGCACCATGCAGTCCACACGCGATCCATCCCTCCGAGAACCCAGACCTGACCCGACCCAGGAATCCCGCCACACTCTCGGCTAGACGCCAAGTCTGGCGTCACACACTCGGCAGAGCCTACAGCTCGACGTGCTAGCCTCACTCCGAACCGCCACGCGCCAGCAGCCAATGGGAGAGTGTGACCCCGACGCAAGCCCTCCTCCCACCGCCAACGTAACAAATCGGAACGTGAGAGCTGGGGGACCGTTGGAAGCACGAGTTGAAGGTGTACCCTCGTCGGCCGGAAGTGTTCTTTTCTCAAAGCAACTCTACCAGCTACAAGCATTCGGCCTCAAGGTTCCGCTAATTTTCTAGTTGCTAACGGGTCTTTTTTACAGACCCGAAGACATATTGTCTGGGGTACAGGACAATTTTAGTGGGCGCCCCCTGGAGGGCAAGGGAGGGATTGTCGTTATCCTACGAAGTAGAAATGCGCACGTTTTCATTGCCACAGATCAGCACCTGACCTCGTAGAACATCGTGGACCCTGAAGCTGGAGTACAGAGCAAATATTTAAATATCTAAACTTGGGTTGAAAAATCTGCTGAGCCTTCATATCTGTACAATGCAGGGCTAAGAATGGGTGATCTCTGGGTTCTCTTCCATAGGTGAAAATTGTAGGGAATTTACTCTGCCAGCGTTCCGCATCTATGTTGGCTTCACCATCCACAAAGGTATGTTTCGTTTTACTGAATAATTCCTTGGAATTTTGCAGTTCTGGGAGGGAGGCAATTTTATGAACCCCTTCTGATTTTACAGGTTGGTTAAAATGTGTTCAGGACTCCGTCCCAATCCTCACAGAAGTCCTTTTCGAATTTAATACTGAAGAGAGAGGTGTTGCTAGCAATCTGAAGATCACTGTTGTGAGTAGGCTCTTTTTATTTTTTCACTTTACAGCAACAAATTCCAATCCATTTTCCATATATGCTTCTTTATCCAGCCAGCTTCTCCTAAGATGTATTCTGCCCATGGTTCTTGAATGACAGTTACTCCGTCCTGAGTAGTCATGCCAATCAGTTGGCCAGGTATCTGCTAGAAACCAGATACCCTTTCACCTTCAGGATCTCATAGTTCTGGAAGTCAGAAGTCCAAAATCAGTTTTATTTGGCTGAAATCAAAGTGCTGGCAGGGCTATAGTCCGTCTAGCTGCTCTAGGGGAGAATCCATTCCTTGTCTTTTCCAGCTTCTGGTAGCTACTGGAATTCCTTGGCTTGTAGCTATATCACTCCAATGTTCAAGGTCAGCATCTTCAAATGTCTCTCTGCTCTATCTTCACCTTTTCTCTGTGTTTGTAAGATTTCCCTCTGTCTCCCTCTAGTACATGTAATTGCATTTAGGGCCCACCTGAATAATCCTGGATAATCTCCCTATTTCAAGATCTTTAATTTGATTATATCTGAAATTAGATTTATTATGAAATTTATTTTACCTAATAGGGTAGCATTATTTTAAAAATTTATTTATTTTACCATGTAAAGTAACATTTACAGGTTCCACGGATTATGATGTGGATGTCTGATTTGGGGGTAGGAGGAGCAGTTTCTTCAACCTACTACAGGCACATGCTCAAAAATCCTAAGAATCCCTCCCTGGCCGGTGTGGCTCAGTGGATTGAGTGCCAGCCTATGGCACATGCCTGGGTTGCAGGCCAGGTTCCCAGTGCAGGGTGTGCAAGAGGCAGCCAATTGATGGATCTATTGCACATCGGTGTTTCTCTCTGTCTCTTTCTCCCTCCCTTCTCCTCTTTCTAAAAATAAAATAGATAAAATCTTTTAAAGATAAAATCTAAGATAAAATTAAAATCTAAGATTTTATCATCTTTAAAATATTTTATCTTTAAAATATTTTATGCCAGAGCTCAATCCACTGAGCCACAGCAGCCAGGGCTAAAATAAAATCTCTTAAAAATATATTTAAAAAAAGAATCCTAAGAATCTCTTGCATATCAATGTTCTCTCTGTCTCGTTCTCCCTCCCTTCCCCTTTTTCTAAAAATAAATAGATAAAATCTCTTAAAGATAAAACCTAAGATAAAAATCTTTAAAAGATAAAAACTAAGATAAAAATCTTTAAAAAGATAACATCTAAGATAAAATCAAAATCTGAGATTTTATCAGCTTTAAAAGATTTTATCATCTTTAAAAGATTTTTATCGTTAAAAGATTTTATCATCTTTAAAAGATTTTTATCTTTAAAAGATTTTATCTTTCAAAGATTTTATGCCAGCACTCAATCTACTGAGCCATGCCAGCCAGGGCTAAAATAAAATATTTTAAAAAGTATATTTTAAAAAAAGAATCCTAAGAATCCCTAGGCATCTGGTGCTGCAGGACACCATCAGCTCTATCAGTGGGATTGAATTCAACAAGCACTCTCCAAGTCTAAGCCATTGCCTATGAAATCTTGAAGTTGGTTAAATTTGTCTTCAACCTACCGCTTCCCCTTATTTGTTCCACCATCCCCCTCCCTCTAACTGCTCAGCCTCACTTGATGCATTGCACTGACCTTAGGCAGTCCTGAGGCCCCTACTGAGTACATACCTAGATGTTGATGCCCTTCAAGTCTCCAGCTCTGGTCCAAATCTTTCTGTGGAGCTCCACATCCATCCAATCAACTGCTTGCTGCACTTAATATCAACCTGATCAAAATAAAATACTTTCCCCATAAATCTGATCCCCCACCTATATCCTTTGATCCCAGTAAATGGCAACACTATCATCCAAACTTCAATCTCTGAATTCAGCAGCTGGGTCTTGAATTCTGGCTTTACCACTAATTCTATATGAAAACTTGAACAGGTTACTTTCATCTGAAAATGCAGAAAAAAGAGCACTTACCTCAGAGGACTATTGTATAGATTAAAAGAGATTAAGTATAGCCCTGGTTGGTATTGCTCAGTGGGTTGAGTGCCGGCCTGTGAACCAAAGGGTCACTGGTTCGATTCCCCGTCAGGGCATGTGCTTGGATTGCAGGCCAGGTCCCCAGTAGGGGGTGCATGGGAGGCAACCACACATTGATGTTTTTCTCCCTCCCTTCCCTCTGTCTAAAAATAAATAAGTAATCAAAAAATTGATTTAAAAAGGAGATAATTATAGTGTTCTTAGTACCACATATGGCACATTATAAGCATTTGAGATATTAGCCTGTATTGTTATTAATATTATAATCCTTTACTTTTCCACCTCCTCCCTCACCTTTTGCTTCCGTTCCCCACAATTACATAATCTGTCTAGTAAATTCTACTTACTATCTTTCTAATCAGTCTTTTCCTTGACATTCTCATGGCCACTGCACCAGTTCAGCCCTTGGTCCTCTCTGGATCACACACTACCTGCCTAACTGGTCTCCCTGCCCCTATCCCTTACACAGCAGAGAACTGATTTCAAAAATTAAAACTGCATCTTGTCAGAATTATAAATTCCTGGACTACTTTCCTTAAACAGTAGGCATTAAGTGGTTTTTCAAAGATTTTTATAATTTGGCTCAAACCTACCTCATGCCCTGGCTGGTGTGGTTCAGTAGATTGAGGACCGGCCTGTGAACCAAAGGGTCGCGGGTTCGGTTCCCAGTCAGGGCACATGCCAGGATTGTGGGCCAGGTCCCCAGTAGGGGGTGCACAAGAGGCAACCACACATGGGTGTTTCTCTCCCTCTCTTTCTCCCTTCCCTTCTGTCTAAAAATAAATAATAAAATATTAAAAAAAAAAAACTTCGTGCCTAGTTACTCTTTGTACTACATTGAAGTTACAGCCAATCTCTGAATATGCAAACCTCTTATAAGCCTCTATCCAGGGGTACACAGGCCGCATGCAGCTCAGGGTGGCTGTGAATGCGAGCCATCACAAAATTGTAAACTTACTTAAAACATTATGAGATTTTTTTTTTGGTGATTACGTGTCGCAATGCATTTAATGTGTGGCCCAAGACAACTCTTCTTCTTCTAGTGTGGCCCAGAGACGCCAAAAGGGTAGACACCTCTGAATGCTTTCGTCTATTATGTTAGCACTATTTAGAATGCTCTCCTTTCTTCCCTTTTTCTGGCAAACCACTATTCATCTTTTAAGATTCAGGATCCTTTGTCAACTCTAGTTCTCCCAGGCAGAATAAACATGTCAGGTTCTTCTCTGAACCCCCAATCACTTTGTACATTTTTCTCTTGGAAGAAATAAGGAAACGAAACACATGCTGAATGCCTACCAAGAAAGCAGACACAGTTGAGAAACTCCTCCGCTCTTCTGTGTTCCAAAAACAGCTTATTGCAAAGGATCACATTGCCCTGGAATATTCTGAGATAAGTCCCTCTCCATATACTTCCTCATTACTCCCATAACACTTCTTGATGACTCCTTTGTTTACCTGCCTCTATAAAACTCCAACTCCTCCCTCCTCCACTTTGAGCATTCTCCCTATGGCTAGAGCCCGAATAAAGTCATCTCATTAATTGCCTGCAACATTTTGTCTTTCACATGGTCCTCACAATTCTGTGAAGTTGGTTTTGTTCAAGTTAGTTTACAGATGAGAAACAGAAATCAGCTACAGTGGCCTAAGATGGCACCATAAAGAAAGGAGGTTCTTTCCCCAACATGGAGACAGGGGCTGTGATTGACCTGTTTACAGGTCTGCCTCAGACCATGAGAGTTTCAAAAGCAGGGACATCCAGGGCTCCAATTACCTTAATCCTTGTTTGCTGAGTGAATTCCTGAAGAAACCACAGCAACTCCCACTAACGTAGTATTGCAGTGTTTTTGAGACTTTCTTTTTAACCTAAGCCTCTTAAGAATTAGGTAAAACAAATGTGAATGGCTGAAATTCTGCACCAAAGGAGAATTTATATTTTAAAATGGAGACTATAGTGCCTTCTCCAAAGTAACGGGCCTTCTGAAAAATTTCAGGCCTGATAGGGGAGGGGAAAGAGGGGCTAATATCTCTTCCAATACCTCCAGCCCTCTGAAGACCTAAAGTGGCAGAATTTCCTCAGAAAAGTAAATGGCCCGCTGGGGCCTGGAAGCTCTTCATTGGCAACTGTTTGACATTTACCCAACAATACCTCAAAATCAGGTGCTGGGAGGTGATATCCAGATAAATGCATCTCAGGCTAATTGCCTGCTTTTGTTGTA